GAGAATGCTCACGTGTCCGAGCCCGGCTTTAATGACTTTAGGCCAATGCCAAGAAATCTTTTTGTAGGAGGAGCCGAACAGGATCACCTAAGTGAAACGGATGATGAAAGAATACCAACTGGGTATGCAACCCAGCCTGAACAGGTCCAAGTTCCAACAGGAACAAGACGAAGACCTTCTAGACCACACAATTCACAGCATGAACGACCTGAAGGGTCAACAGAACCTGCTCGGACAACCGAGCTCGAAGAGAGAACTAGAGTTCTCGAAATGGCAATGGGTAAAATCCTTGCCCGCCTAATTCCTGATGACCCCCTGATTCCTTTGCTGAACAGGGATGCACAACCAGCTGTGGTTGTTGCAACTAGAAACTCCCCTGCTCTAAGCAATATAGTAGTGCCGACCAGGCCAAGGGGAAGTGGGAAGTTGAATATCGAGCCCAGCTCGTCTAAACACAGTGAAGAACTGATGAGAAAGAACGCAGATCTTGAAAGACAGCTGCGGGACATACAAAAATCTATTGACGAGCTGAAAAGTCCCAGGTCGCACCAACAGACCTTGGATTTGGATAGTGCACCACTAAACTTATCCATTACGGCAGAGCTGTATCAAGAGGGATTCAAAATTCCCCACCTAGAGACATATGATGGCACGGGTGACCCTGATGAACATCTGCACACCTATCAAGCCATCATGAGAATCCAAAACGCCAATGACGCCATGATGTGCAAAGTGTTCCTGGTAACACTAAAATCAACAGCCAGGAGGTGGTATCACAAACTCCCCAGACATTCAATAAATTCGTTTTCCCAGCTCGCCAAGCTGTTTTCTAACAAATTCGCGAGCCAAAGGGAGATTAAGCGCACAGCAACTGAGCTGATGCAAGTTAATCAGAAGGAAGGGGAGTCTTTGAGGGATTACATGCAGCGGTTCAACAAAGCCACATTGGACATTGATAATGTCCCAGACACGATCTGCCTGTCCGCCCTGTTGCATGGGTTGAAGCGTGGCCGGTTCCTCGATGACCTGCTTGAAAACCCACCGAAGACGTGGAACGAGGTGAATGACAGGTCGGCCAGCTTTATACTGTCAGAGGACTTTCAGTCGTCCAAGCGACGAGCTGATGATAAGCCGAGCAGAGGCCAGGAGCAACAACCGAGAAGAGAAGAAAAAAAGAAGCAGAAGGTCAGTGAGCAATGGGGAAAACCAGCTGAGTTCCCGAAATATGCCAGTTACATTCCGTTGACCTTACCTAGGTCTCAAATCCTGGCACAAATTCAGCACTGGGTTCGGAGACCTCCACCCCCACTACATGATTCTCCGAGGGCAGATAAGAGCAAGCATTGTGACTACCATCGTGTATATGGTCACAACACAGAGGACTGCCAACACTTGAAGGACGAGTTAGAGTTTTTCGCTCGTAACAGGAAGCTAGAAGGGTATGTTCAGAAGCCTCACACCCAGCAACCCACTCAAACCCATTTTGTACAGGCGTACGATCGACCTCAAGGACACAGGTACCAGCACGGAGGGACACACGATGCATATCAGGATAACCAGTATCCTTCTGAACAGGGCAGAGCATACCGAGGACGTCCTTTCAACAGGAGAGGGCAGGGACCGAGAACTACCGCCCCGAATCAAAAAGACAGGAAAGGAGTAGGTTATGCTAGGATACCCCCACCTTCTGGTACAATAAACATGATATCGGGTGGTGTTCACTCAGGGGGCCAAAGCGCCCGAGCTCGCAAGGCATATGCCCGACAGGTGATGACCGTCAACAAAAATAGACCCTTGAAACGGCCGTTTGAGGAAGCAGAATGGGAAAACGCGCCCATCACATTCAGCCTGGCAGATTACAAGCGAACAGAAGGAGAGCCCGACATTATGATGCCCCATGCAGATCCCTTTGTGGCAACAGTTCATATAGGCAATCATAATGTCAATAAGGTGTTTATTGACACTGGCAGCTCACCAGATATCCTATACTATCTGGTGAGCTTCCAGAAGATGCAGCTAAATCCGAGCTCGTTGCAGAAGCACGAAAGGCCAATATACGGGTTTGATAACCAGCCCGTCCCAGTTGAGGGAGTTATTACTCTTCCTATATACGTGGGCTCAGAACCGCGCTTCAGGATGGCTTCTGTCACCTTCCTGGTCGTTAAGATGGAATCAGCTTTCAATGCTATATTAGGAAGAGCCACCCTGTGCGAGCTGAAGGCTGTTATCTCACAGCCCCACCTCTGTATGAAATTCCCAACTCCTCAGGGGGTAGGAGTGCTGAAAGGGAATCAGAAGATGGCTAGAGCCTGTTACCAAGACACGTTCAAGAAGGTCCAGCTCGCCG